CTCCCATCCCGCCCCATCCCGGCCCCGCCCCGGCCCAGGAGCCCCCTTCCCCGCACTCACCTGCGCTTCCAGCAACCTCTAAGCCCTCTTTCCTCTTTGAGCCCCGGGCTGCCTTCCTGATGCCCACTGAGACTGGGGCGCACACTCAGGATCACCCCCGGCTCCTAGTCTGCAACGGGAAAGGGACCTAGGGGCTGGGCTCATCCCACACCTCTACCTGGGTGCCTGGCACCGTACAAGGCACGACACACACGGGCATGCACACGCACTCACACTCACACACTTCACATTCACCACTCACTCACACCCACACTCACATTCTCACTCGCCCGCACTCACACTCACACCCGCAACAATCACCCGGGTGCGCAGAAGAGGCCACGGGAGATGAAAGGGGCTGAGGAACTCGCTCAGGTTCACCCTGCAAATGGGTCCTCAAGTGGATGCTGACATCCCCACCCAGGCCGCTCGGGTCCCAGGCTAAGGGGCTTTCCCCACACACTGGCTCTTTGACGGACAAAGGGGGGTGGCTTAGGTGAGCTGAGGTACCCACAGCGCCCTGCAAGTGGATTGTTTAAATGGGATACTTTTAAATGACTAGAAGAAGTGTCCGTCAAGAGAATGGTCGTGAGCCCGCTCATACAACCAGTCCCATTACACAGCTGCGGCCGTGGGTTGATTTGGGTCTGTGCCACCTGGAAGGAAGAATAGACTTTCTGGCACATCCTATAACAAGACCTGTGTGTGTCCTTGAGCACAGGCAGTTACTGAAATTCCTGTGCATGTAGGTTAAGAATTGAATGGTTCTTTTCAATATAGTTTTCCTACCCACATTGGATCGGGGTTAGGAATGTCGCGATCGGAGTGCCCGCCCATGGACACAGGCGCACAGACCTTGTCCCCAGGCAGGGCAGTGCCGTTCACTCCTTCCGGGGCATTTCCTATCTGTGTCAGTGTACTGCAACTAGGGAATGTCCTCTCATTTTAACTTGTGCCAGCGTTCAGCAACAGACCTTATCGGTCACATCTTTCATCACTATTTTGCTTTACATTTTGGTTCATCTCAGGAAAATCAAGCACCTCTTAAAGTATCTTAATTGAGAAAGGATACCTAGAGTTATATTCCTTCTTTTTTAAAATTTTATTTATTTATGACATTAGTTCATAAAATTATATAGGTTTCAGGTGTACAATTCTATAACACATCACCTGTGTATTGTATTGTGTGTTCACCGCCCCAAGTCAAGTCTCCTCCATCACCACTTATCCCCCCGGGCCCTCTTCTACCTGCCCCACCCCCTCCCCCTTTGGTAACCACCTTACTGTTGTCTGTGTCTATGAGTTTCTTTTTTTGCTTAATCCCTTCACCTTTTTCACCAACCCTCCAACCCCCATCCCCTCTGACAGATTTCAGTCTGTTCTCTGTACCTATGAGTCTGTTTCTATTTGTTTGTCAGTTTATTTTGTTCATTAGATTCCACATATCGTGAGATCATGTGGTGCTTGTCTTTCTCTGCCTGGCTTATTTCACTCAGCACAATGCTCTCCAGGTCCCTCCCTGCTGTCCCAGAGGGTACCAGATCCTTCGTCTTCACAGCTGCGTAGTATTCCATGGTGTGAATGTCCACAGCTTTTTTATCCACTCAGCTACTCTGGGGCTGTTTCCAGATCTTGACTATTATAAATTGCACTGCTCTGAACATGGGGGTGCATAGATTCTTTCAATCAGGGTTTCAGCTTTCTTTGGATAAATACCCAGAAGTGGAATCGCTGGGTCATAAGGCAGCTCCATTTTTAACTTTTTGAGGACCCTCCACACTTTTCCACAGTGGCTGCACCAGTCTGCATTCTCACCAACAGTGCACAAGGTCCCCTTTCCCCACACCCTCGCCAGCACTTGTTTGTTGATTTGTTGGTGGAGCCATTCTGACGGGTGTGAGGTGACATCTCAGTGTGATTTTAATTTGCATCTCTGATGATTAGTGAGTTGAGCATCTTTCATGTGTCTATTGACCATCTGTATGTCCTCTTTGGAGAAGTGTCTATTCAGGTCCTTTGCCCATTTTTTAATTGGGCTTTTTTTTTTTTTGGTATTGAATTGTATGAGTTCTTTATAAATGTTGGATATTAACCCCTTATCAGATGTATCTTTGACAAATAAATGTTCTCTTATTCAGTAGGTTGTATTTTAGTTTTGTTGATGGTTTCCTTTGCTGTGAAAACCCTTTTTAGTTTGATGTAGTCCCATTTGTTTACCTCTGTTTCCCTTGCCTGAGGTGGTATATCAGAAAAAAATATTGCTATGAGAAATGTCCAAGATTTTTCTGCCTATGTTTTTTTCTAGGATTTTTATGGTTTCGAGTCTAATATTTAAGTCTGTAATCCATTTTGAGTTCATTCTTGTGCATGGTATAAGAAGGTGGTCTAGTTCTGAGCCCTTAAATATTCAAAATATCTTTCTGGAGTCTTTAGATATGAGCGATGTCTTAGCCGGGCACACGTACAACCCAAAGACAGTGACCTTTGCCTCAGAAGCCCCCTAGCCTTCGCTCCCTTGTCTCCCGGTTTTAGCGTCACCTGGGAAAAGTCTGCTGCTAAGGACAGGCTGTTCCTTTATTGATAATAATAATTTTGCTGTTATTTTTTTTTGTCTTTTGGATACACATAGGTTTCATTATTCCTGTTTTTAATATGCTTTTATTGATTTTAGAGAGAGACGATGGGAGAGGGAGAGAGCTAGAAACATCACATCAATGATGAGAGAGAAATATCGATTGGCTGCCTCTTGCATGCCCCCTACTGAGGATGGAGCCGCGCCCCTGGGCATGTGCCCTGACCCGAAATTCAACCATGACCTCTAGGTGCATGGGGCGACACTCAACCACTGAGCCACGCCGGCCGGGTGGTGTCATTATTCTTGATAATCAATAGTATCTGCAGAACAGATTTAGGGGCAGATCTTGGTTCAATAATTCTCTCTGATCACTCTGTTTCCATCAAATCGCTAGACTTAATTTTGTGGTTTTATTTTATTTTGTTGGGGAATTTCCTTATGAAGGCACTTTGTAATCCTTAATTGCACCCCTGTGCCTCACTCCTTCTCTCCCTTTTTTCTTTCCTTCCTTTCCGGAGAGTCAAGTCCTGGTGGAGACTCCCTGCTGGCAGCCACCAGGGGTGTGAACCCACAGACATACACTGCGAGCAGGAAGCTGCCCCCTCTCCTCCTTGGGAGCTGGTGCTGCTTTTGTATTGCAGACGTGAGAAAACCCATTAATTTTGAAGCAAATGTATGCAAATGCATTTATTAATATAGGAAATAGGAAAATCAGTTATTGCTTCCTTTATAAATAATACAGGCTTAAGTTTTAAAGATATTACTTTTGCTAAAATGCATTAGACAGCTGTGAAAAAATAACATTTTTCTTTGTGGTAATATCTTTAACCAGATTTGTAGCACTAACAATATTTCCTATGTATATATTATTTTTATTTAATACAGGTAATCTTTTTATTACCAAATCATATTGTTTCTCAGGAGGTTACCATCAGCACTCATAAAAGCTGCAAAAGGGAAATGGGACGACCAGGAGGCATCAATCTCCCACGGATGTGGGGCTGAGCTGCAGATTAAATACACAAAGCTCTTAATACGTTTCACTGAGCCACTCGTTAGGTGCAGATGTACTTAAAAACACTCTTTCCCTATTCTGTTTCCATTTCAATTTGAATCAAGCGGTGGATGCCATCCTCTAATTTCAACCAAGAGCAAAGTGACCTTGGAGAAAAGCCCATCTGTAAGGTGCCCGTGTACTGTGGTTGGAGCACCAGGGGAAACTGGGTCTCTTGGGGCCTCTGTCCTGTGCAGAGTGACCCACGAATATCACTGTATCCTCAAGTCTGACTTGAAAAACTGACCGGCCAGGATATGCAGGGGTGTGTGCCCAGGCCCGGGGTCCCCCGGTGAACTCTAACAGGACAAAGCAGGGCCTTTGGAAGTGCAACCGTGGGCCTGACCCCAGTTCTGCCACTCCCTGCTTCGTCAGGAACCTCTGAGGGCCCGTTTTCTGGTCTGCAGGGTGAGAGTATTGCTTCTTTCCTAAGGGCCCTGTTGTGAGGGCTGAGAGCACCTCTGTGTACAAGCGCCGACCCGGGGAGGGCTGGCCAAGGGCGGGCTCGCCCCCTTGGGCAGCGGCCCAGGGTGCACTTAGGTCGACAGGGCGGGGACATACGTTGACAGTTGTCCGTATGAGAAATAATGCAACAGAGAGTAATACAAAAATAAACCCTTCCGAGTACTCAGACTAACTGCAAACCTCCTTTTGCGCACCCTCTGTGCTGACATGAAACCCCAGGCCCCTGGAGAGTGAAGGGAGCTGAGGGAGCTGAGGGAGCAAGAGCAGGACTAGCCATGTGGGTTCTGCCCCTTTGTTTCTGGAGCCCTCTGTCCCCAGCGTCTTCATTCCTCCACCTGCGACCTCTCTGCCTCCTCTGATCTCAGGACAACTTGATGAATGAAAAGAGCAGGAACTGAAAAAATTAGCCTTAAGTCTTGCCTGGTGCAGGTGAAGCTGCCAAGCTCAGGACTGCATCGAGCCCGCTGTGGAAACAAACAGTCCTCAGAGCCGGCTGCCCTGGGCTGGAGCTGCGGGCACCTCGTCTTCATGGTGTGCCTCCAGCCCTCGCCCCAGGCCTGCCCTCCCTCCTCAGGGCTGCTGTGTCGCACGTCGCCATGCGCGGTTAGATGGCCCTGCCCAGCCTGCTCTCCACCTGTTTCTTGTCCTCTGCTTAGGGCACTGCCGCCTTCTCCGTCCCCGGGCTTCAGGCTTGCAGACTCTCCGGGGTCCACTTCTCCAGGAAAGCAACCCTGACCCCACGCAGGGCGTCAGAGCCACTCTTGGTCCTGTAGTTGGCTCTCTGGATCCCGTCCTTGGACCTGGCTCAGAGCCGGCCCTTGGAGGATGCGGGGAGTGGTCAAGTGGCCATGGTTTTCCTCCCCGGTCTGACCCCTTGATTGCGGGGATCACTTATGCATCCTTTGCAGAAGCTCCCAGCGCAAGCTTCCAGGGGATGGTGGAGGGACCGCTGCGTGAGGAGGCCAGCACACGCGTGCACACTGATGTGTGAACGTGCGCGTGGGAGGAATGAGCGTTCTAATGGCAGAACCCACGTCTCAGGGACAGATGGACAAATGGAGGAGACGCCGGCAGCGCCGCGCAGCGGGGCTCTTCCTCGGGCAGCTCCTCATGTCCCCTTTCCTCGCAGGGGGGCAGTTTCGACGTGGCAGACAGAATGTTCCACAGCATGAGGAGCGCGTGGGAGTCAGCCTCCAGGGAGAACATGAGCGACGTCCGGGAGCTGACCCCCGAGTTCTTTTACCTGCCCGAGTTCCTGACCAACTGCAACGCCGTGGAGTTCGGTGAGCGGGCCGCGGCCGGGCCAAGGCGGGCGGGACCCCCCACCGTTCGGGACTTCGTCAGATCTTTGCCGAGCAACTAAAGCTGCCCCTCTCCAGACCCATGCGGTGGGTGAGAGGCCGCCACTGGGTGGCAGCACCCAGCGAGAAGGCGGGAGCTGAGGGAAGGTGCTGGGCCCAGACGGCTCGGAGCCCCGGCCCGCCCGTGACCCTCCCAGGCCTTCGCCTGTAGCCAGGGCTGGCCAGGGCGCGCAGTCCTTGCTAACAGCAGGTCCTGGCTAACTGCCCTGCTGCGTGACCTCGGGCAAGCCCCTGACCACCTCTGGCCCCGTTTTGCTCCATGTCCCACAAATGGCTTAACTTGGACTCTGAGGGAGACACAGAAGTGCTGTGTCTCTCAGGACAGGTTTCTGGGTGGCACCCAAGGGCGGCTGTATGGGCACCCTGCTCTTTCTTCAGGCCTCACCCCTGGATGAGCCAGACTTTTCACCAGCTGCTGGAGGCCCATATATCAGAGGCCCAGCAAGCAGGTGAGCTGGGGCTGCGTGTACACCCCAGCAGCCTTTACTGCAAACGTCAGGGTGGCCTGTGGAGGGGGTGGTCAGGGCCTGTAGCAGCTCCCCACTCAGGGCAGGGGGATGGAACCAGCCACCTGGGAGGGGCGCTCATGAAGTGTTGCCGGCACACAGCTGGGGCCCAGAACCCCCTCCCTCGGTGTCCTGCTTCCTCAAAACAGCACATTCGGTCCTGTGCCTCAAGCCAGGCCATGTGCAGGCCTAGGGAACATGGTGAAATGAGATGATCCAACCCCTGCCCCACCTCTTGCTTGGTGGTTTTCAGCCAAAATACCTGTGGACCATGTAGAACATTCCCGTTCCCAGGCCTGTGCCCAGTGAGTCTGAACTTGGTGGCATTGGCCACGTTCAGGTTCTCAGATATTCACGTGCATCAGGAATGAGAATGGACAAATGCGAAGGCCAGTTCCCATGGGGCGTGGGGCCCCAAGAAAGAGTAAAGGGACCAGGGATGGCGGGAGCCAAGAGAGGGTGGCCAGCCAGCCTGGTGTGAGGGGAGTGCTGGAGGGAGAGGACCCACTCTGCCTGGGAAAGGGAGGCGGGCTCTGTGCAGAAGTGGGGAGGGGCTTAGCTGCAGAAACGGGGCACATGCCGAAGCTTCAGGCGTCCTCGTCCTCGGGGAAGTCAAAGCACCTGACTGGTGCAGGCGTTTCCTTAGGCACTGGGGATTCCGCTGGGTCTCCTGGAACAGGTTGCCCTGAAGGTGCTTATATTCTGTGCAGAAATGGGCGAGGGGGATGGAAAATATGCATAAATAAATGCATGAAATGCTGTTTGACACTGAGAAGGTAGGAAAGTGGTTTGAGAGTGACTCAGAAGGCCCTGTGTTATTCTGATCCCCAGGAAGGACCTGCCCAAGGAGGTGACAGGTGAGCTGGGACTGAGTGATGCGAAGAGCCGGCCAGGCACAGCCCTGCAGGCCACAGAGAGGAGGGGCAGGTCTCATTCCAGTTGCACCATGAGGCTCTGGAGGGTTTAGGCAAGACTATAGCTAATGTTTACTGAGCAGCCCTCCTATGCCTGGAGCTATTCTCAGCACCTTACATATATTTCCTCCTTTACCCCTTACACCAGCCCTGGGAGGTAACGAGTGAGGAAAGTGAATCCCAAAGCCATTAGGCAGCTTGCTCAGGTTGTGCAGCTAATGGGGAGGAGAGACTCGTGCTTGAATCCAGCCTCCTCTTCGTAATGTCTGGGGAAGTGTTCTCTGAAAACCTAGCCGTCCTCCTTTTAAAAATGGAGAGAAAATGCATGCATTACAGAGCTGAATGAAGATTCAATGAGACTGTGTGTGCCAGCACCTAGCAGAGTGACCTGGCGTAGAGTTAGGTGCTCAAAATATGAAGCTTTTGTTGTTACTGTTGTTACCTCCATGTTTTAGCACTGCACAGAAAGCACCATACGAGAAGGCACAGAGTGGTGGGACAGAAGAGGTGAAAGCAGTAATGACACTGCAATTGTTTTATACAACTTGCAAATCAAGCGCAGACACTGCCTGGGAAGCAAGGACAGCTCTGTGGAGGGGTCAAAGGCTTAGAGGCTTAGAGCATGGGGCACTCTAGACAGGGGGGGCTGGAAGCACTGCACCTGTGCAGGACACAGCCCACAGCCCCGTCTGCACAGACCAGTAGACCTGGACAGCACAGCGTTACACCTGATTCCTGGCCCAGTGTGCTCCCCTTTACCCAAAGCCCTGTTCTTTCTCACCCCGCTCAGGCTGCATGCAGGACGGGACGGCACTGGGGGACGTGCAGCTCCCTCCCTGGGCAGATGGGGACCCTGGAAAGTTCATCAGCCTGCACAGACAGGTGAGTTGAGCGGGCTCATGCTGAAGTCCCAAGAATCCTGAGTGAAGACCTCAGCATCCCTCAGTCTCCAGGGAGACTTTCTGTGTGATTGGAGGGCTAGCAATGGGTGCATCTGAGGTTCTTATGTCGGGAGAGCCCAGAGAACGGTCTGGGCTCCATGCCCCAGGTTGGGTTCTGGGCTCTTTCAAGAGCTTTGTTAGGCTTTGTCCTTGTGCCAGTTTTCTGTGAGGGTCACTTGGGAAGGAAATTCAGATTCTTGTTGGATGCCCTGGAGGGCAGATCAGTGTCTTTATTCAGGCCTACAGGAAGGGCCACACACGAGGCCAAACTTCCCAGGATAATTCAGAGAGGGACTGGAGGCCCCTAGAGGTCCCCGCTGGCCAAAGGGTTTACCGGGACTGGGCAGGACATGGCTTTTTACCCAGAAAGGTTGATACAGGTGGAGAGGAGAGGCCACTTCAGGCCACATATGCTGGGTTAGCATAAGCACATGAAAAAATGTTTATCATTAGTCATCAGGGAAACATACATTAAAACTACAATGGGTGCTAACACACTCACAAGAATGGCTAAAATTTAAAATACAGATAAAACCAAGAGCAAGCAAGAGCGTGGAGCAACCAGAATGCATCACACCTTGCTGGCAGGAAAAGCACAATAGGATAGCCACGTATAAAACACCTCGGGAGTTTCTTATAAAGCTGAAGATGCATTTACTGCATTGCCCAGCAATTCCACTGGTAACTATTTGCCCGAGAGAAATGGAAATGCGTCCACAGGAAGGATGTCTGTGAGAATTCATCAGTTTTATCCACACTAGTAAGAAACTGAAAACACTCGTGCATATCAACTGGTAAAGGGTAAACAGATAATACGTGTGCACAGTGCAATAGGATTTCACAATGCAAAGGAGCAGCTGACCGATACGCGGAGCAGCATGGTGAAGCTCAAACGCACGATGCGAGGCAGGCGAGTCAAACCCAAGCTGCGTACTGTGCAATTGCATCTATGTGACATTCTGCAGAAAGCAAAACAGGCCAAGCTCAGGCCAGTGGTGACTAAGGTCTGGAGGAGGGATGGTGGGAGGCAGTGCCAGGGACCCTCGTGAGTGCATGTGAACATCCTGTATCTCCATCAGGGTGGTGGGAACATGACCGCACACGTCTGTCAGAACGCATCGAACTGTGCATTTGATAAAGGTGAATCTCATTGGGTGTAAGTTACACCTACAAAGAAAAGAAAGCAGGGGAAGGCCTGACGACTGGCAACATAGCTGTGCCTTTTCTTTGCCCTGATTCCTTTGTGAAAAGAAAGTTCTTCCCCGGTGTTTCTTTGCCTTGCCTCCGGAAATTCAGTAACAGCAGCCGTGCCTCCCGCAGCCCACTGGGTGCTGAGACTCGGCCAGGGATGAACTTGCCCTTCAGGAGGCAGCGCCCCTCAGGTGTCCTCAGAGACGTCCTTGGCCTGGGGCGAGTGAGACGCTCACTCCACGGTGGCTGCAGATGCTAATGGC